TATAGAAAACACTCCCCCCCCCCCCCCAAAATACACTACAGCTAAGTATAGTATCCCACTTTTAAGAAAATCCTTTATACATAAGGTATAATGTAGAATATTTCTATGTATAGAATGACATCTTGAAGTATATATACTAATTAGCAGTAGTTATTTCTAGTAAGTAGAAGAGGTAGACATCTTGTTTTCAACTTATGTCCTTCTGTATTTTGAATTAAGCATGTATTTAATTTTTTAATCTGAAATTTGAGAGAAGAAGAAAAGCACAATGCCCTAGCGAGCCACCTTCTGACTTAGTTCCTTTACCATCTAACACAAACAAGCTCTTTAAGTACAATTGATTTTATTATTGGAAGAGCTTTCATAGATGTCTTAGGTTTCTAATTAACATGCCACAAAATTAAGGTTCTGTCCAATGTGACAGAACTTTTTTTAAAAATATTTTTTCTTCTTTTTTTTAAGTATATTTTTCATTTTATTTTATTTTTACACATTAAATTACTATACATCACTTAGCTTGTAAAGTGAATTTACCCAACATGAATACACTTCACACCAGTCCAGCTGAGGATACTATACACGTTATCATCAACAGATAATAATCCATTTCTGTGTCCCATAAAACACTGGGTCAATTTTTTTTTCATTGTATTAAGCTTAAAATAACCTGAACAGTTATTAAGTGTCAGTGGTGTACTAAGCACTAGGGAAATCAAAGATGCTAGTCCCTCAGCTCTTCCAGTTGATGATTTGATCCCTCTCAATTGCTTGCCTATCTTATCCCTATTTCCCTGTGTCCTCCTCCAGTACTTTCCAATACTCATTTGAAAAGTGATTCTCATAAACTTACAGCAATTTAAATCTAATATATGAATTTTAAATATGCTTGCCTTAGTATGAGACTAATCCACTAAAAAATGTATTTCTTTTTTTTCTTTTTCTTTTTTTTTTTTTTGAGAGGTTTTTGCTATAGTGTGCATGCGCTTGCCAGAAAGTCAAGAGAGAGATAGAGACAGAAAGCAAGAAATCACCCACCCCAGGGGGGATGGCTACGCTGCAATCTCTTCTCCTCCATTCTCCTCTCGGGATCTTGGGCAAACATGCACATGCACGTGGCGTGAGTTTAAGCCACTGGGTCTGGGACTCGAACTGCAGTCCACTACATGGAAGTCCAGCGACATAGCCATTATGCCAACTGCTGGTCCCTGAAAAAATGCATTTCTTGTTATAAGATAAACTATTATTCTTACACTTTTCTGAAAAACAGGCAAAGCAGATAAATTACCAATGTAAAGTAAAAATAGTGGGGTAGACAATATTTGTAATAATACTATGGGAAGGGGATATTTGTGAACAAAAACATACATCAATTATTGTTAAAGAAAGAAAATATGATACATAATCTTGTTCTAAAATGTGTGTGTATTATATTAATATATTTGGAACAAAAATACTTCTCTCTCTCTTGAATATGGCTGGATAAGAATTTTTTTGAAGTCCCCATTCTATAGATCCAAGCATTTTTTATGAAAAATGATTTTTAAATTATTATGAAAAGTTTATACTAAGGTTTATATTATTCATATGTATGGATTAATCTTTTAAAAACTTCATTCTTAGTTTTGTTACACCTTTTGCTTCTTAGATCCATGAAACAACTTTATTTGAAGTTTTATTTGAAGTAATTCAAATATTCTGAAGGAGATAGATTAATCCTTGCTATTGGTCCTTATTATACTACATTATTATACTATTAAAATGTAATCTATATGAATATCTTCCTGTTTATTTAAAATGAAACATTTCTATCTTTGAAACATAGACTCAATCTTGCTAATCTATTTTTACCTCTTTATTAAACTGTATATTATCATCTTTTTGTGTATTTTATCAACCTATTATAATCTTTTCTTTTTTAAGTGTTTATTGTGAAAAACATGACGTTTTGAAAATGTATATTGTGGAATCAGCCTGTTATATTCTTAAAAGTGTCTCATTCTCCCAAGAGCGGACAAAAGGAACAACTACCCATTTGTTATTGGTTGGGACCACCAGGCTTGTAGGTGGAAGAGTTAATTAACAGGAATTCTTCTCATCAGAGCTCTGTCTCTCCTGGGAACTGTGGGTGCTAGCCTGTTAATTCTCCATTAAACCTTTAGCTGTTAGGGGACACTAAATCTTATGTTGGGGCTCTTTTAGCTTCCTTTACCAGAGAAAATTAAATATCAAACATGAAACTTGAAAGGTAATTGGTCAAGCAGTAACAATATACAGAGTGCAGGAATGTCTAAGCACAACCCTGATTCTCAAAGAGATGGAACAATCCAACTGGCAGAAATAACTCTTTTCTTGCATTTAATGCTGATGCTCTCTACCTTTCTTTCTAAAAGAAGTTACAAATATTTAATAAAACACTATAAAAGGACTATAAAAATATTATCTTAGGAGGCCAGCAGGTGGTGTGGTGGTTAAGGCACTGGACTCCCACATGGCTGGCCATGGTTCGAGTCCTGGATCTGGTGGCTTGCTTTCTCACTTTTCTGCTTTCTCTCTCTCTCTCTCTCTCCCTCTCTCTCTCTCATGAGTGCATGTGCAGTGTTGCAAATTTAAAAATCATAAAAATAATCATAAAAAAATTAAAAAAAAAAAACAAAAGAAAGTATTTTCACGAAATGGCCCAACTGGTGGCACAGTGGTTGAGGTGGCTGGATCCCACATGGATGACTGCATGTGTGGATCAAGTCTCAGACTCGGCAGCTTGAAAACACATGGTGTGCATGCACATGTGTGCCCCAAATCCTAAATGAGTGGGAAAGGGATTGCAGTGTGGCCATCCTCCCTGGGAGGGTGCTCTCTCATTTTCTCTGTTTTTCTCTCTCTTTGGTGAGCTCCTCTGTCTCTCTGACAAGTGCACATACCCTGTAGTAAATTTTTAAAAATTATCATGGAAAGGAATGTTGGACAATTTAATGCTTTCGTTTTACAGATGGAAAACCAGAAGTATCCATAGTAATTATTTTCTAAAATAATATAAAATTTAATAAGTGTGTAAATAAATGAATATTTTTACTCTTTCTATATTTTTAATCTAAATTAGTCTCAATTTTATCTTATTCTTATAGTGAAAGAAAAATATACATTTCTACATACCAAAAACGCTGTTCATTGTTTCTTTTTTCCTTGCATTATTACTCGGTTAGCTTTATATTCGAATATGCATGGTGGTACCACATTAATATGTCAACTGGATTTTGGCACACAGCGATTTGTAACCTCATTTTGCCATGATCAGTGGCTCAACTCCTGTTCTTGTTGTAGGGCTTTGACCAGCTTCGACTTGAAGGATTGCTTTGTGATGTGACCCTGATGCCAGGTGACACAGATGATGCCTTTCCTGTGCATAGAGTCATGATGGCATCTGCTAGCGATTACTTCAAGGCTATGTTCACAGGTAGTTTGCCTTTTTAAACTCTGCATTCGCATTAAAATGGTGTGAAAAATATGTTGCAACTTTGTATTTCTAACATGAAACTCAAGTATTTTTTTTTTGGTCTGTCTATTTATAAGAGGAAACAGTTGCAGATAGATTATACATCAGTACATATGATTGCAGGTGGCACTGTTTTAATATAAGTAATTGGTACACTTTCCTTAATACCATCCGCTTCTATTTCACAGCTTTCCTTTTTAAGACTCTTATCTGAATGAGCCATCAGAGACTCTGAGGCCTGCTAATACAATCCTTAATCCATCAAAAGATAGGAAGTGACAGGAGAACATTTTAGAAGCACTTGCATCATATATGACCTCCATTAGTATAGAGACACTCCTTTTTAAGTACTCTCTTTTAACTGTAAAATATGCAGAAGCCTGACTCTGATACTGATGCTTTTAATACTAAGACTTTTCCTTGATTTTATTGCATCTAATTAGCAGGAGAAGTGGGTTTGACCTTAATTATCCACTTTCATTTAATTGAATGTCTTTTTCTTTAAGGTGGAATGAAAGAACAAGATTTAATGTGCATTAAGCTTCATGGCGTGAGCAAAGTCGGTCTAAGAAAAATTATTGATTTCATTTACACGGCAAAGCTTTCTCTTAATATGGACAACCTTCAAGACACTCTGGAAGCTGCCAGCTTTCTACAGATTCTGCCGGTTTTGGACTTTTGTAAAGTATTTCTCATATCTGGGGTAAGATGTTTTCAAATCTTATTTTTCCTGTGGTAGACTGTTACAGACTAATTAGAGTAGGATTCATGATATCTGTCATGTATACATGTGAGAATCCCACCATTTGAAAGAAGTGTTATGATATGTGTGATCTGGATGCCAGTTGAGGTTAAGAAAGGTGAATTTTTAGAATATGGAACCATTTAATAAAAATGTTCTGCGGAATCAAATGACAACATATATTAAAAGTGTTTTGGGACCAGCAGATGGCAGAATGGTTATGTTACAGGACTCCCATGTAATTGACTGCAGTTCAAGTCCCAGACCCGGGTGCTTGAAACTCATGCCAAGTGCATGTGCATGCCCAAAATATTGAAAGTAGAATGAGAAAAAGGGATGGCATTGTGATCATGCCACATGGGAAGTGATTTCTCACTTTCTGTCTCTCTGTCTCTTCTCTCTCTGGTGAGTACACGTGTCCTATAAGAAAATCTCTCTATAAAAAAGTGTTTGATAAAGATATATACCTTAACCTGTTTGATAATGTTATTGATTATAATCTGGTTTATTCACCTTAATGATTTTATACAAGCCGGCTTTTCCATGTAATTCTATGGAAACGTATCTGAGCATCTAGAAGTCTTTTAAATAAGCTTGGTAATTTTTTTTTTTTTTTTATTATGGGACCTTGACCTTAAGAAGAACTAATACCAGGGGCTAGTGGGTGGTGTGGTGGTTCAGTGCTGGACTCCCACATGGCCAACTGCAGTTCAAGTTCCAGACCTGGAGGCTTAAAAATGACACCAGGCCTTCTGGTGCAACTCCTAGTGAAGCGAGAATCCATGTGCATCTGAGATGCCCCAGCTCTGCCCCTTTTAACCAGAAAGCCTAAGCCTCTTCCCCAAAGCTCTCTTTCTGGCCCAGTTCCCAGAGAAGTGAGCATCCATGTGGACATGAGGTGGCCCAGCTCTGCCCCTTTAATTGGAAAACCTAAGTCTCTGCTCCAAAACTCTCCTTCTGGCCCAACTCCTAGCCAAGTGAGACCTCTAACACTCAGAATTAATGCCAAGAAAGTAGGAAGTAACATATAATCCATCAGGTGACCAGAAATCACACAGAGACACAAGAAATATGGGAAACCAAGAAAATATCTCTCTGCCAAGGGGAAAGAACTGCCCTTCATATTTCACAGACAGTACAATGGAATGAGTAGAAATGTCATATGAAGAACTTAGAATATTCATAGTGACAAAGCTAAAGAAATGCAAGAGAAGAGAGACAACAAACTCCAGAAGATACAGAAGAAAAGAGATGAGTTCCAGGAGATGAGGAAGTTCTTGCATGATCTGAAAGCGGAAATACACACCACAAGAAAGAATCAAATGGAACTGTTAGAGATGAAGACTGTAATACAGGAAATCAAAGCCTCCCTTCAAAGTATTAAAAACGGATTAGATTGTACAGAAGATTGAATCTCAGATGTAGAAGACAGAATCACTGATCTAGAAAAATTCACCAAAAAGACTGAGAAAATAACCCCCAAAATGAGAATAACATAGGAGTAATACTAGATACCATTAGCCACCCAAACATCCGGATAATCGATATCCCAGAAGGTGAAGAAACTAATAATGGCATTGATAATCTATTCCATGAAATCTTGGAAGTTACTTTCCAAACCTAGAGAGACGTTCAAATATCCAGACCCAAGAAATGCAAAGGACCCTTAATAGAATCAACCCAAGAAGATCTTCTCCAAGGCACATCAGAGCCAGATTGACCAAAACCAGACACAGACAAGATACTAAAATTGGCAAGAGAGAATCTTCAAGTTACTTTCAAAGGGATATCCCATCAGCTAACATTGGACCTCTCATCGGAAACAATGCAAGTAAGGAAAGAATAGGAAAATATATTTAGAGTGTTAAGTGAAAAGCAATTTTATCCAAGAATACTATATCTGGCAAGGTTATCCTTCATATGGAAAGAAGAGCCTGAAACATTCTCAGATAAACAAAACCTGAAAGAATTTACCAATGCCAGACCAGCTCTTCGGGTTCTGAAGGGAATGCCATACCAGGAAAACTGAAGACAGAAAGAAATAAGAGAACAAAAATGACCAAAAAAAAAAAAAAAAAAGCCAACTTAAAGGTAGGGACAAGTTTAGAAATATCAATAATAATGTTGAATGTTAAATTCCAGGATTTAAATGGAAAGATCAGATTACGGTGAAGCTGCAAATTAAACAAAAGAGAGATTACATGAGACTGAACTGGTGAAATAGAACTCTATGACTTTTGTTTAAAACATTACTGATTTTCTTCTATGCTTTGTCTTTCAGATTTAAGGATTTTGGTTCTCTTGTGAGTTGTTGATAGGTTCAGCAATTTGTTAATCTTTTTTGTTGAAATACAAACTTTTCTCTCTTCCTGACCACTTTGCAAATGGAAAATATTTGTGACCATTTTTATTTTGTGACAGAATGGCTATTTGCATAAATTCAACAATACAATAGTATCTGTTGCCTTGCCTCAGAAATTGAATTCTTATGGGGCTTTGTACAAATAACAGACCAAATAGAGATTAACCTATTTTTTTTTTTTGGCAAATAAGGGGAAATGGAGAAAGAAAAAAATGTTTGAGAAGAAAATTAGAGTGCACTTGTCACTAGATTCTAGCTTTGTCCGTATATTTAGTTTAATATATTTTGTGAATCAATGAAATGTGAAAAAAGTTTCGTATTGAAGGGAGCGAGGGGAAAGGGGAGGCAAAAAACTAAAAGTATGCTTAAATGACAAAAAAATGAGAAACTACTTGCTGATGATAAGGTATAGAGTAGTATCTGTCTTGACTGGCATGCATGGGATTTGCACTGGAAAAAGAAATGCTGTACACTGTAAAGACATGTGATTAGATGTAAATAAATTTTAAAAGAGATTAACAAAATCACACCAGACTGGTGTGTGTGCATGCCCAATATCTCAGGAGAATGGAGGAGGAGGGGTTGTGGTGTGGCCATTCTCCTGGGGGGGGGTGATTTCTCGCTTTTGGTCTGTGTCTCTCTCTGTTTCTCTGGCAAGTACACATGCCCTATAGCAAAAATCTCTCTTAAAAAAACAGAAAACAAAAAATGGAATTGAATTGAGTAATGCACAATATATTAGTATGTTGTTATCAAAATAATAGAAAAGAGTTTTGCTCTAAATAGCTTTATTTGAAGTCATTGTTTTTAGTGTTTTACCATAGGTTATGTAGGCTTGTCAGAGGGAGACAAAGAGAAAGAAAGTGGGAAATAATCCACCCAACAGAGATGGCTACACCACAGCCCTTCTCTAGTCTCCTCCTGGGATTTGGGGCATGCATGCACACATGCCTGGCATTATCTTCTGCCCATTTGATCAAGACACAAATTGTGGTCAGTAATGTGAGAGTCAAGCACCTTAACTGCCACAGCACCTGCTAGTAACTATTTAAAATAATTTTTGTTTAAAGATAAGATAACAGTAATTTTGTAATATTGGCTAATTTCAAGTAAGCAGAATATTGGTTCAACACCCTATTTGAAACATTTACTATAGTGGTCTTTTTAACTCTTTGAAATTTCTTTGTATTCACAAACACTTAATATTGCCTTAAAGACTATGTTCTTCACTCATAGCATCCTCTGTAGAGACAGTAATACCCACTTCTAATAGAGAAGAGGATTCTCTTTAGCAAAGCTTTTTTGGTTTAGTTTACTCTTGGTTTTGGAAGTTTCTTGCTGTGAACTTTCAGTAAACAATTCTTTTCTTAGTATCATTCTGCTTTACTTATCCTTCAGCCTATTTGCCAGGGATATGTCTGTGTGATTTTATAGTGGAAATCATTGCTCTCAGAATCCATGGTAGTTTTTGAAAACATTTGGTAGATTATTAGTTCCAGAAACATGTGAAACTCAGCTTTTCTTTTATCTTACTTTCATGTGTTCTATTTCTTAGTTAGATCTGTGTTCAGCCTTGCTCTATTTTCCCTTTCCTTCTCAACAATTTACCGAAAAAGGAAAAACATTTTCCTGAGTGCCTTTTTTACTTATAAGATCTGAAAGCACAGGGGCTGTTCCCATGGCCTAGTGGCTAAGGGAGCCAGACCCCACGTGGCCAACTACAGTTCGAATACCAACCTTTGAGTCTTAGAAAACATACTGGGCACATTTGTGTGTGTGGCCAAAATTCTGACAGGATGGGAAAATGAAGGAAAAGGAATTGTGGCATGACCATGATCCACTGGGTGGATGGGGTGGGAGGTTTCTCTTCCATCCCCGCCCTGTTTCTGTCTCTCTCTGGCAAGCACACGTATTCTCTGGTAATTAACAACAAAAAGACCAAGTGTTTCAAGATACTATAAATATTTTTCAAAGAAAGTTTTTTTTTAAGTTTTTCTACAAGCTCAGTTATCATAGGTAATTTTTAAATAGAATGAGCTCACGTTTTAAGGATTGTGCACTGAAACCAAAAGTTTTAGAAGAAATAGACTTTATGCTTTAAATGTTACTGTGAGATTATACCCTTTGTAGCCAGAACACAATTTTTGTTTGAATTCACTCTATTCTTTTATTTTTTTTTAAGAGAGATTTTAGTTTTAGGATGCATAAGCTTACCAGAGAGCCAGAAAGCGAGAAATCACCTACTGGGGGTAGGAGGGGTGTCACACTGCAGTCCCTTCTCCTCCAGTCTCCTCTTGGGATTTTTGGCATGCATGTACACACACCCAGCATGAGTTTTAAGCTACTAGGTTTGGGACCAGGCCCGGGACTCGAACCACTGTCAGCTATGTGGGCGTCCACTGACATAACCATTATACCATCTGCTGGTCCCCTAAATCATTTTATTCTATTGCATTTTAAGTAATTTGTGTGGATGAAGAGGAACAGTGGTATACAAAGTGTGAATCAATAAATAACCCAGAAAGCACTCTACATTAGTTTGATTGGTAAGTTTAAATATGCTAGTAAAGCCACACTTGCCTTTAATGGGATAGAGATA